AATTTCCATTTCCATGGTAATGCTAATTCACCCCGAATTAACCTTATCTTCTCAAATTACCATTACCATCCGTTTCCTTGGGGGGGAGGTGGTATTGGGTGTTAGTGAACATATATGAAGAAAAACATGAAGTTTGGGGATGCCATTGCATTACTATGAACATTAAGATGTTATGTTGATTTTATAATTACACTTGAAACTCATCCCATTACTGCTATATACAACTATCAAAATTGCTGTAAAATTGTTTACTTTCATGGCGGTCTGTTTCTCTGTTATGAGTTCGTTCTGAGAAGCTATACTAATTATTGTACTGACTTGTGGTTTCTTTGAGCAGAGATGAGAAGCAGCATCTTCTTTTAGGGATTAGGCGAGCTAACCGACAACCAACTAATTTATCGTCATCAGTGCTCTCTAGTGATAGCATGCATATTGGAATCCTTGCAGCTGCTGCCCATGCGGCTGCAAATAATAGTCCGTTTACAGTTTTCTATAATCCAAGGTGGGCGTCATTGCACTCTTCTTAATCACCGCTCTGCATCCTTGGCCTCATTAGATGTTGATGTGTGCAGAGCTAGCCCATCAGAGTTTGTGATCCCACTCGCGAAGTACTACAAGGCTATATATGGTCAACAAGTATCTCCTGGTATGCGATTTAGGATGATGTTTGAAACTGAAGATTCAGGAACTAGAAGGTAATTTTAAATGTTGTGTATGAGACGGTCATATTGTTTCACCTCGCTGTAAACATAGAGAAGAAATCCGTCTCGAAAATGACTGTATTGAAATCATTCTGTTGATGACTCATCTTTCATCATCTGGTATTAAGCAAATTGACTAATTGAGAATTAATCAACCAAATTTGCAGGTATATGGGTACAATCACAGGTATTAGTGATCTAGATCCTGTGCGCTGGAAGAACTCACAGTGGCGTAATTTGCAGGTAAATACTTGCTGCCTGTGTTGCAACTAATTATCCGTGCACCTTATTTTGTGCATTTTCTAATTGTTGATAGATTACTTGATATCTGCACTCAGGTTGGTTGGGATGAGTCAACTGCTGGAGAAAGGCGTAACAGGGTTTCTGTTTGGGAGATTGAACCTGTTACAGCTCCATTTTTCATATGTCCCCCACCATTCCTTAGGCCAAAGCGTCCAAGGCTACCAGGAATGCCAGGTACATATAATTATACTTCTGCAGATTGGGGTATCTATTTCCAAAAAATCACGGTATCTTTATTTCTTCTAATTTTCCTTAGGTCTCCCATGTTAGTATGCTATCTCCCTCACATCATGACAGGATATAACAGCAAGCCTGTTTACTTGAAACTTATCTTACTGGAATGCTTTCATGAGCCTCAAATTACCCTCTGTTTAAGATACAAGATGATTAATATATGGAGATTGCTTCTTATGCTACTCTGATAATTTATTATACTACTGCTGCCCACTGGCATGTGACAAAACCGCTATTTTCCTTTATGAGAAATTTTAATGATACCATACTAATTTACAGTTTTACATTCGTTATTACAACGTGGCTTATGAACCTCTAATTTTCACGGGGTTGGGTGAGTCTATATGATGCCTCACTATTGGAATGAAATGATTGTCCTTCAAAAGTTTTTCTTAGGTCAGCACAAATAGCAACAGAAAGCTTAAATGGGACAAAACATGCCATTGTATCCTAATATGATTACCTTGTTGTGTTAACTGTAATGATCATTTTCTTGTTGCACTGTTTTTCTAAATGGTTCTAATCTAATCTTACTCTGTGGCAGATGATGAATCTGATGTCGACAACCCATTCAAGAGGACAATGCCATGGCTTGGAGATGATCCGCATGCTTTAACAGGCTTGAGCTTGATGCAGTGGATGAACATGCCACAAAATCAATCCTTGGCTAATCCAATGCAGGCAAATTTTTTGAATACTTTACCTGGTACTCTTCAGAGTCTTCCTGGTGCTGACCTGTCCCGTCAATTAGGATTTACTGCACCACTGATGTCTCAGCAAAACAACTTACAGCTCAATGCTCAGAGTCCAGTACAATCAGTTCAGCAGCTTGATCAGCTCCAGAAGTCAGCAGAAGCTTTGAACCCATTGAGCTCTCTAATACAGTCGCAACAACAGTTATGTGATGTTTCTCAGCAATCCTCGATGCATAACTTGATCAACCAATCCCTATCTTCAAACCATGTCCAGTCACAGCTTGTACAGTGTCAGGGTCTTGTACAAAGTCAGAATTCATTTCAACAGCCAACTTCTCTTCAAAGCCATCAGCCCCTGGGAAACCTACCCCCACAGCAGCAGCAGCAGCAAAGTTCGGGACCCAGTCAACAACCAAGCATAAATCAATTGCAACAAGTTACCGACAACCAGCTTCAGCTTCAACTTATGCAAAGGCTTCAGCAGCAACAGCACTCGCTCTTATCTCAGCAGTCTGCATTGCAGCAGATAAATCACGTGAACCAACTCCAAGAACTGCAGAGATCTCAGTCAGATGCATCTCAAAGCTTTTCTAGGGCATTGCCTTCATCACAAATGATGGATATGCCTCAAGCACAAATGAAGCCTCTCCCTCAGCCCCAGGTTATGCCACAGCAGATATCTAGGAGCAGTAGTCTGACAGCATCACACTTCTCTCAAACACCTCAGGTCCCAAAACTCCCACAGCAGCAGTCTGGTGTAATGCCTGAACTGCATGGTCCGGCTGGAGTTGCACTCAATCCTATGTCAAATCATCCTTCCACTGCAGTAAGCAGCAGTTTTGTAGGAGCTGCTGCAGGTGGGCATTCAGTGCTAACTGATGATATTCCATCATGTTCTACATCTCCTTCGACAAACAATGGTCCTATTGTCACTCAGACAGTCATGAACAATAGAAGTCACCGAAATTATGCCTTGGGAGAAGGAATAAATCAGTCTAATCTTTTGAGTTCCAATAGTTTAGAGACTATGGCAGCTCATAACTCTTTTCAAGAGTTGCATCAAAAAGCTGCTGTCAAGCCTTCTGTCAACATTACTAAAGTTGAAAGCCAGGGACATTTAACCCGGCAAACATATCAGAGTATCCCTATGGATTATCTAGATACATCCTCTGCAACATCAGCCTCTCTCTCTCAGAATGATATTGTAATTCAGAACAATCCATTAGCTAATCCACAATCAAGTTTGTTAGGAGATACAGGTCACGATGTGGAGGTACAAGCTGATGTTAGAAACAACTTTCATGCCGGGGCAAGTATTAATGGCCAGCTGGGGACATCCTTGGTCTCAGATACTATGCTGACAAAAAATTTACCAAGGTCTGATAAGGATTTCTCCAATAACGTCTCTTCTGGTTGTATGCTTAGTACTTATGAAAACTCGAAGGATGCTCAGCAGGAACTGTCATCCTCAATGGTTACTCAGTCATTTGGAGTACCAGATGTCGCATTCAATTCAATTGATTCTGCATTAAGTGATGGTAGTTTTATGAATAGAGGAGCATGGGCCCCACCCCAACCATATCAGAGACTGCGAACCTACACAAAGGTAAAACTCTTAGAACTTTTCTCATGCTCTGGCTTAAAATAAGAATTTCAATGAGTGACTTGGTTGTTTATCTGAAGGTTTACAAGCGTGGAGCTGTTGGTAGATCTATAGATGTTACTCGTTACTCGGGTTATGAGGAGCTCAAGCAGGATCTGGCTCGGATGTTTGGCATAGAGGGACAGATGGAAGACCGGGGAAGAGTTGGCTGGAAACTTGTATATGTGGACCATGAGAACGATGTCTTGCTAGTGGGTGATGATCCCTGGGAGTAAGTCTTCGCATAATTAAATTACAATTAATTTGCTTCCCTTATCATTATTATCACGATCATCTATTCTGCTTAGAGTTCATATTCTGTCTGTTTCAATTGCAGTGACTTCGTGAATTGTGTTCGGTGTGTAAAAATCCTCTCCCCTCAAGAAGTCCAACAAATGAGCCTTGACGAAGATTTTGGAAATGCTTCTCTACAAAATCAAACCTGTAGTAGTTCTGATGGTGGAAATGTATGAATTTTAGAGTCATGCTTCTACCAGTTATTGTGTGCAGAAGACTAAAATGAGAGGATAGAGTTAGCCCCTGGCATATACTTGTGCTGATTTTTATGCATTGCTGCAAGCTGCTGTGATGCAAGCCGAGTTTTCGCCTTTGATATAGAAAGTTAGAAATCATTTCCCTCATTTTTGGGCAAGCCTTGTGGTATCCATTATAAATGGCTAGTAGGACAGGGAGCTCAGAAAGTTGGCAACCAGACCATCCTATGATTTCAATGGTATTCTGGCAAGCCTTCAAAATTGTAATGATGTATGTTCTAGATCAATGTAAATCTCTCTTAATTTATAAAATCAACGTTCTCGGTTCAAGTCTCTTCGAAAAGTTTGGCTTGAAAATTTTGTAGCTAATTCATTCAACCAAGTGCATTGACAATTTTCATTCTAATCAAAGTTATCTAATGACAAGCAATTTCAACTGCATCACGCTTCTAAGAGGAGTATGACAAGACCAACATATCCTCATTCCATGAAGAGATTTTGAATATGATGAAAAATAGAGAGCAAAATCAGATTTCTATTTCATTGATTGGGAAAAATGAACTGTCTTACAAGTTGTGTTCTATTACAAGTATTTATACAAAACATCTGAAAATATCTTGTAACAAACTATTCTGACATAAGGAATCTAATAACAGAATTCTGTTACACCAAAATCTAGAAGAAACTAGAAACTTCTAGAAACTAAGCTTAGCAGCAAACTTGATCTTCAGCTCCTTTATTGCTTCAGCTTTCCTCGAGCTCCCTTTACTTGTGCAGCCTCACATTTTGTTATAACAGAATCAGTAACCTGATTAGTATGATCATCAATACCCCCCCTCAAGCTAGGTGTGGGTGAATAAAACATACCTAGCTTGGACAATAGCTTGGACAGTTGAGCAGCAGGAAGAATCTTTGTCAAAATGTCAGCTAACTAACCATCAGAAGGAACATAAGACAACTCAATCAATCCTTCCAACACCTTGTCTCTGGTAAAATGGCAATCAATTTCAATATGCTTTGTCCTTTCATGCATAACAGGATTCTTAGCCAAATGAATTGCTGACTGATAATCACAATTCAAATTGACCGGTGTGAGATTAGTAACTCCCAGATCAATAAACAATCTCACAAGCCAAACAATTTCCGAGGCTGCAGCAGCGATTGCCCTGTACTCAGCTTCAGTTGAGGATTTAGAAACAATTGATTGTTTCTTAGATTTCCATGAAATGAGACTGTTTCCAAGCATCATCAGATAACCAGTAATAGACCTTCTACTGTCTATACAAGCTCCCCAATCTGAGTTTGAATAAGCTTGAAGAGTGACTTGTTTAGCAGCCTGTAAAAATAAGCCTTGACCAATTGTTCCAGCCACATACCTCAAAAGATGCTGCAAAGCCTTAACATGTGCCAACCTTGGACATTGCATGAACTGGCTGAGAGTCTGGACTGCAAAAGATATATCAGGCCTAGTGTGTGAGAGAAAATTCAGTTTACCAACTAGACTTCTATAGTGTTCTGGATCCTGGTACAAATCTCCTTCAGTTGCTGAAAGTTTCACACTAATAGGAAGAGAGGTCTTTGTTGATCTTGAAACATCCATTTCACATATCTCCAGCAACTCTCTAGTGAATTTTCTCTGACTCAGAATGATGCCAGTAGACAATCTTGAAACCTCAATTCCCAGGAAGTAGCTCAGTTCTCCCAAATCCGTTATACTGAATGTGTCATGTAAATGAGACTTCAAATCAATCAAAATATCTTGATTTGACCCAGTTAAGATTATGTCATCAACATAAACAACAGCAATGCATATATCATCTCCCTCCTTAAGAATGAACAAGAATAATCATTCTTGTTCTGAATAAACCCCTTCTTCTGCAGTTCTGAAGTTAACATAGCAAACCACTGTCTACTTGCTTGCTTTAACCCATACAGATATTTCACAAGTTTGCACACCTTACTCTCTGGATTTGGAATCCCTTATGACATCTTCATATAAACTTCTTCATCAAGTGAACCATGTAAAAAAGCATTGTTTATGTCTAATTGAAACAATGACCATTGGTTCCCAGCAACAACAGCTAGCAAACACCTTATGGTAGCCATCTTCACAACCGGTGAGAAAGTCTCATCATAATCCAGACCATACTTTTGTGTAAAACCTTTAGCCACAAGCCTAGCTTTATATCTCTCTAGTGTTCCATCCTTTTTAAGCTTCACTTTAAAAACCCATTTGCACCCTATAGCCTACCCTTAGGTAAAGTTGTAACAACCCAAGTATTGTTTGCAGACAGGGCTTCTAACTCTCTATTCATTGCCTGAACCCATTCTGGGTGCTGTGCTGCCTTAAAATAGGTAGCTGGTTCTGTGATGCCAAAAACTTGAGCAATAAAAGACTTCAGAGGTATAGGGAACTCATCATATGTTATGAAATTGCACCAATGAGAGGGAGCATACTCAACTGTACAAACATAGTTAATCATCCAGGCTGGCTTTTTGGAGGGTCTAGAAGACTGTCTGTTAGGCTGGACTTGTGTTTGTGGGTTAGGTGCTGTAACTGGTGGAATATTTAGGGAATGTGTTTGGGTGATAGGTATAGGTTGTGTTTGGATGTTTTGAGGGGTTTCTATTTGAGAAGGGATATGCTGATCTGGGAACAGGATAAATAATTCTGGAATATCAGGCTCAATATCAAAAGTGAAAGCAGTTTCAGCTGGAAGAAAAATGGGATCTGGTTTATGAGTAGGAGAGGTAATGTGGAAAGGAAAATTTCTCTCATGGAAGATGACATCCCTAGACACAAAAATTTTGTTTGTTTCTATTAGATTCAACAACTTATATGCTTTCTGTCCAGTTGGATAACCAAGCAATACACAGGGTGCTGATCTAGGGTCAAACTTGGTCCTGTTACTCTTCAAAGTAGCAACATAACACATGCATCCAAACACCCTTAGATGGTCAATGTTAGCTGGAAAACCATTAACCTTTTCATAAGGTGAGACATAGCCAAGGCATGATAAAGGCATCTTGTTAATCAAGTGAGTTGCAGAAAGCAAATACTCACCCCAATATTTTGCTGGAACTTTAGACTGAAAGAATAAAGCTCTAGCTGTCTCCAATAAGTGTCTATGTTTCCTCTCAACTACCCCATTTTGCTGAGGAGTATCTACACATCTTCTCTAATGAAAAATCCCAAACTTCTCATAAATTAATGACATTCTCCCTTCACACAACTCTTTTGCATTATCAGTTCTAAGACTCTTCACAACAATACCAAACTGAGTCTAAATATAAGTAACTAAAAACTCCAAAATTTCAACACAATCAGATTGATTCTTCATAAGAAATGTCCAGGTATGTCTTGACATATCATCAACAACAGTCAAGAAGTAAGAACAATTATCATGTGTTTGGAGTTTATATGGACCCCAAGTGTCTACATGTAAAAGATCAAAACACTTTACACTCTTAGTACTCTCCTTAGGAAAATATTTTCTAACTTGTCTAGCTTTTGGACAAATTTGACAAATGCTGTCAGTACAAGCCTTATTAGAAAATTTTGAATCTACATGACTCAACTTACTAAAAGGTAAATGTCCTAATCTCAAATGCAAAAGCTTAGCCTCATCTGCAATAGCCAGATTTATTGAAGAAATACTACTCTCATCCTTCTTCAATTCTCCTTTTGAGACTGCATACATCCCTGAATCCAGATTACCAAGAACTAGAGAATTTTTCTTGGAGTGATCCTGGATTAAACACTTGTCATGTGTAAAGATAATATCACAATCCATGTCTCTACAGATTCTATGTGTAGAAATCAAATTAAAATGCAACTCAAGAACATGCAGAACATCCTTAAGCACAATTCCATTCTCAAATGTAACTGTTCCTATATGCTTTACCTCTACCTTTTTTCCATTAGCAACAGTTATTGAGCTTGGATATTTGTTAAACACTTCATATGAATCAAATAAACTCAAATTTGAGCATATGTGATCCGTTGCTCCACTATCAATAATCTATTTTGAATTTAGACAAGTAATTAAGCAATTACCTGCCATATTAGCCATTCCACTGAACTGCTTGGAACTCTCTTGCTTGTCCTGCTGCAATAGACTCACCAGGATGCAATAGACTCACCAGGATCCATATTAGGCAATGGATTCATCATCAAGATATTTGTTCTCACTCCAGCATGCTTAGTGTCAAGCTTCATAAGAAACCGGATCAACCTCTCATCTTGCTGAGACTTCAGAAATTTCTGAGTTAAGTTGCAGGTGCATCTGGTGCAATTACAAGTAGGAATAGGATTTGCTGCACTAATTTGATCCCAAATTCCTTTAATCTTGGTGAAAAATACAACAATTGAATCTGAACCTCGTTCTAATTGGCTCAAGGTTTGCTGCAATGAATAAATCTGTGGCCCAGAAACAACAGAATATCTATCCTCAAGATCCTTCCAGATCCCAGATGCAGTAGAAAAGAAGATCACACTCTTTGCCAAAGTATTATCGAGAGATCTCAAAATATATGAAATAATCATATTGTTGCATCTACTCCATGCATTAAACAAAGGATCTGCATCACCTGGTATTGGCAAGCTACCATCAATGAAAGACATCTTGTTCTTCATAGAAAGAGCTAATACCATTCCTCTCTTCCAATCTTGATAGTTTTCTCCATTAAACTTCTCTGAAACAAGTGAAACAGTTGGATTTTCACTCGGATGAATGTAGTAAACTGATCTAGGATCTTGAGTCGGATTTTGAATACCTGAATGATTTTTTTGTCCAGCCATCTTCTTAGCAAATTGAGCTCAGAAAACTCGAGATTATCAACAAAATGTACTGAATTAATCGAAAGAAATATGAAAAATCTGATGAAAGATCAAATCAGAAATCTGGAAATAATTAATGAAACAGTAATGTTCTTAGTATTCAATGTATGATTGAATGAAAATTTGCGGAAAAAATTAGCAGGATCTCAAGATCTCTGCTCTGATACCATGAAGAGATTTTGAATATGATGAAAAATAGAGAGCAAAATCAGATTTCTATTTCATTGATTGGGAAAAATGAACTGTGTCTTACAAGTTGTATTCTATTACAAGTATTTATACAAAATATCTGAAAATATCTTGTAACAAACTATTCTGACATAAGGAATCTAATAACAGAATTCTGTTACACCAAAATCTAGAAGAAACTAGAAACTTCTAGAAACTAAGCTTAGCAGCAAACTTGATCTTCAGCTCCTTTATTGCTTTAGCTTTCCTCGAGTTCCCTTTACTTGTGCAGCCTCACATTATGTTATAACAGAATCAATAACCTGATCAGTATGATCATCAATATTCCACATCTCCACATTTTACATCTGACGAACTGTGTGAACGTTGTGCTCACCTTTCGGCGACGCATACTAAAAGTCACACTCATAAAGTCCTAATTGAAGGTAACCTGCAATGCTAAAACTTTAATTCACTGCAATCACCATTTATTCATATCATTCATTAAAGGAAGACGATTTTATCTATCTACAAGCCAAAGGAACGCAGTTTTATCTATTATATACATGACCAAAATTTATATGAAGTAGATTTACAACCACACGGACCTTAATCAATGCCCTAGATCAAAAGTCATTTGCTTTCTGTTCTAAAGTTTCAAGCAAATAAAGGAATTATATTATGCTTGATTTTGATCAACAAAGCCTAAGTATAAATGTCGGCGAACAACTAGTGTGATAATTCAAGAAGATCATGGGTTTATGTTAGATACTTTAAGCAAAAACAATATGGGTGGATGCAACAACTAGTGTCAATGAAACATAAGAACCAATTTTTTGTTCATAATTGTATTACCTATGCTAATTAAAAACAACCTAAAATAAATTATAATCCCACAATTTTGTTTTACTAAGAAAGCCACCTTAATAGACAATTATCATCTAATCAAGGAGCCACCAACAAAATTGTATTCAATAATAGTAATAGCTAGAAATGGAAAAAACTTAATTACCTTCTAGCAACGTAGCAATACCCATCTTGATTAAAAGCTAAATATCAAGAAGTACAAGTTTTGTATAGTGCTTTTGTTGATTGCGGTTGAGATGAAGCTCAATCATCTTTCAAAACGTTTCGAGGTAATTAGTATACATGAAACCGTAATGACACATATCGAATACATCTAGTGGTGGGAAGAGACTGTTCAGAGCGGCATTCACTAGTAGAAAAATGGACATTGGCGCTGATCAATGGCCACTAGTTTTTGAGGGAAAACTGGGTGGGGAAAATAAGGGGAAAACTGGGCGGGATTTTGAGGGAAGATTATTGCCACAGGAAAGAGTACCTTGTGCCCGAGTTCCCGCCCGACCGGGCGCGAGAGATGGCCATAATGGAAAAAAGGCGGGATTTTTAGGGGTGTTGTTCAGCGGAGTTTCTTAATTTTAATTAGGAGTAATTATTTTTGTATAAATACGATTTTAATGCTTTTGTTTAGTACTTCTTCTCTTAGACTTTCTCTCTCTACTTAGTCTTAGATTATTTTCTCTCTCTATAACTTTGTTCTCTACTTTGTTCTTAATTCAACTCCTTAATTCCAATTACCACTACAAGAAAAAGCCCATTTTTTACCGATGGGAAATACCGATGGCCGGTAAAATCCATCGGTAAAATTATAAATTACCGATGGTTTTATCAATCCATCGGTATTTTTAGAAATACCGATGGTCTAGACATCGGTATTTTTTTTTCCGATGGCTTTTTTCCATCGGTAAAATCTTATTTTTTATAAAATAATAAAAAAAATTTACCGATGGTAAAAAGCCATCGGTCTTAAAAAATTACCGATGGCTAAAAGTCATCGGTAAATATTTACAAAAAAAAAAAAAAAAAAGTCAGTGTTAAAACTCTAGCAACTCCTTCCTTATTCTTTTCCTTATCTCCTCAATTTTGCCTCTAATAACACTGCTCTCCCTCTCTCCTCCTCTATCTACATCTTTCTCTCCTCTCTCCTCCACGATACTCTCTTTCTCTCTCCTCCATGATACTCTTTTTCTCCTTTCTTTTGGTCGCCCTATTCTCTCTCCTCCCTCTTTGGTTTTTT